TTTTTATTTTTTAGCGTCTGTTTTTTTTTATTCTTTTTAGTGCCAGAAAATTTCCTCTATAAACCTGGAGTTTGGCTAAGTTTAGAATCTTTCAGCAGTGGAGCTGCCTCCTCTTGAGTAAAAAATATTTCCTCTCAGGCGTTCCTTTGCTAGGCAGGAAATAATATAGGAAGGAGAAAATTTTCGGAAACAAGACGCTGCTAAAAGTTGGGGAAACACATGGGTGACAGAGGGAAGAGAGAGCAAAAAAGTCAAAAAAAATTCATTATTTCTTCTTAACTGTTCAGCACTTTTCTAATGTTTAAAATAGGTTTTTTATTACATAGTTGGGTAGTTTGAGTAGAATCACTTGTTTTCTGCGTGTAATCTACTTATAGCTCTGTTGTGTGTCTTCTTTATTTTTTGGGTAAAGTTATTTTTACCAAAAATTAACTGTTGAAATTGACTGGAAGAATTAAACCACTAATATATTTTTGACTAAATGACATGTTCATAATGAGAAAAGTGGCTTTACTGCCGTAAAATTTTATGGAAAATATCAACTGCTCACTATAATGCAGTCGATTGCATCGGACCAAGGCCATTTCATATTACCGTATCAATTGATGTTGTTGGCTGTAAAAAGTCAAGTTTCTCACATCCTCTTGCATTTCATTATTAAGGCGTAGTTCTATTTGGGAGCTAATAATTAATGATTCTTTTGGATTTATCAAGATATTTCTTCCTGTTCAGTTGCTGATACCTTTTCTTTGTTCTGGTACGTGGTCGTCATAAAAAAACCATTAGGCTTTTAACAAACATTTTATGGGAAGGAGGGTGAATGACGAAATTCAGTAGCTTTTGCAAAAGAAATTTCTCTCTTTAACTTTTTGGGCATTTATCTGCCTATGAATTCACTAACTTTTTGTTGATAACCTGTTAGCCTACAACTTAAAGCTACATGGGTAGTCTAGTTGAACTTTGTAGACGTTGAGAGGATCTTTTGTTACAGTATTGCTTTCATGATAAATGTTGGTTTTTTTGTTTTTAGAATATCGCTTCTGTCAACTGGACTGCACGATATTATAAGGTCTATTATTTTACAATTTTCCGCTATGTTTGCTGAAGATGCTGGTTTAGAAGAGATGTAAATGATCAATTACGAAAAATTGGAGAGTGTCTTTCGTTGGGTCGGTCCTTGGTTGTTGCTGTTATCAGAAGTTCTAGAATGACTAAAGTGGTGATAAAAAATTGCGGTGAATTTAAAAAAGAAATAATGTCGTACCGTCATATAATTTTGTAGTTTAATGTGAATAAAAAGTAATGTGTTGAGTCAATTTGTACTTTTGACTTCTACGTTTGAATATTTGCTTTTATTGTTTAGATTACCACTAAGTGGTGCAATCAATTGGAGGCCAACACAATGTCTAACAAGTACTGTAATTTGAAATTGGTGTTGCAATTGACGCGAATTGTTATTTCGAAAACAGCTGTACATATTTTAATAAGCGTTGAAGAAATTTTATTAACAAATGAGCAAGTATTTTTGCAGATAAATTTTATAAATTTTACTTAAAAGATCTGCAAGTTTGCTGTCTTCAAACTTTTGCTTGCTGTTTGCAAAAGGCATACAAAATTTAATAATATAGCATAAACTTCCAACTTTATCGAAACTTTTATGACACGCTACTCATAGTTAAACTCAAGTGGAGATGGCTCATGGTTTGCTTAAGGTTGTAAACCAGTTAACGATTATAGAGTTCTTGGTGTTTTCGGGGATTCCTAGTCTTATAATGGGAACAATTTTTTGTGGTAGCGTTTCTGCACTTGTCTTTATTACTTTTATAAAGTATGAGAGGATAGATGTTTTTTGAGAACTCGAACACGGATAGTGATGCTGAGGCTTAACGATTCTGAAATAGAGGCCTGTATGTAGAGGTGTGCAAAAATACTGTACGGTTTGGAAAGGGTTTTCTAGAGGGTATTTGAATAATTCCTGCTGTGGCCATTCGACGAAGAACTGATTTAATTTAGGAGTCATCATAGACTTTATAAATAAAGACTTTATAGACTCAAAGACTTTAAAAAATTTTTGATTGTAAGCGCAGCATATATTGTATGTTTAATTAAAATTGATATTTTGGTACTAGAATTTCTTTTTATTTTTACTGCAACAAAAATTTTTTAAATTATACTCTTTGATTTCATACATAGTGCACTCTAGCAGACACATAAAATCTGCTGACTGAACTAGACAAAGCATATTGTAATATGACTGCCACGTTACACAACGAAGACAAGGAGATTTTCTTCAAAGGTTCATTTCAGTGAACCAATTTCAGAATGCTGTTACGCGTTAGAAATAGTCAGTACCGTACTTATACATAAAATAGGTTCTGTTTGATGACAAAAATAATACTTATACAATTTACCAATAAATATTTACACATAAGCAGTATTTTTGTTGCCGTTCTGAAGGATGTCTCGGTTGTCAAAAGCACAATTTCAATTTTTGATGTAACTTTAGTTGGTTTGATACATTATTGGTAAACTACGGAAGTTAACAATGTGGCTGTTGATGGTTTCACCGTTTTTGACGTTATTACGTCAGTAGCTGTAAAAATGAACAAAAGAAAGTTTTTTTGCGGACAGCTGCGTTTGCAGCAGTGTTAGCAGAAAAAAAGATGAGATCTCCTTCAGTTGAGTTTTGTGTAAAATAAGAGAAAATTGAAAAATGGTTTGGTTTTTTTTATTTGGTTGTTGAGTTAGACTTGTAAAATTGTTGAGAAAGAAGTAGGAATGATTCCTGGGTGGTTGAAAACACTAAGCTAATCTATTTGTCGTTATTTATTTTCGGCTGACAATTGTTCCATATTGCTATTGATAAGTTGGTAATCAAAAAGTTGTTTGACACTAAAGATCGAACAGGGGGTGAAGTTTGTTGTTATTAGTTTTGTGTACAGAGTAGGCGTAATTCTGTCACCTCATCCATAAAAAACAAGTGCAAATTCATTTGAAAAGTGGCACCAAAAAATTTGTTGTAATTTTTGCTATAACGTAGTTAATAAAAATTTTTTTAGTCTAAAGTTGACTTTACCTACCATGAAACACTTTAAACTCTCACTTGCCGGGTCTAAAAATGCAATTTCTAGGGTTTTTTTCAAAAGAAATATAATCAAAAAAATTTTTTTGACGCAAGAAGAGTAGTCTTTATGATTAGCATTTTTGACCGACGTTAAACAGATTTTTGTACGTCCTATTTCGTTTGTTTTATCTTCTTTCATATTAGTATAATGACAACCTCATAAAAACGTCTCTTCAAAAACAGTTTTTTGATGTTTCTAATAAAGCGTTTTCAAAATGCCACATGTTTTTGTCAACAAATTGTAGTGAACAAAGAATAAAGATTACTTTTTTTCTAATAAATAGTACATATTACAGAAATCAGTGCTTAATTGTAATTCAAGTTTTTTTCGTACAGTTTGTATTGTATAATGTAAATGTACAACAGCTTTTCTTGCTCTGATTCCAAACTTTGATTTTGTTAAGCTCAAATTTTTTGACAAATTTATTAAAGACATTAAAGTGGCATCAGGCAAGCTGTGTATTTTAAAAACTGACCCTAAACTTTTACCTAAAAAAAATTTTACATTAAAAAAATTTCATATAAATGGTATTTAACTAAATATTATTACAGCACAATTCTTTCGAACATCAAGCTATTCGAATACAGTGATCACTGATCGTAAGTTACTAGAGTCCGTTATGATTGTTAAAAAACGAAAAATGTAGTTAATTTGGCAGTCACGCATACGTTGTCTTTTTCTATTTTTGTAAAACAATAAAATAAAGTATAAAGTTAGAACTAAAAAAATACCTAGATATCAAAAAGACAAATCATGCAACTAAAAATTAATGAGAAGTTTTTTATTCCTTATTTACTCTTTTTTTTTTTCTTATTTTTTTTCTGATTATTCAGTATTGTCTTCAGAATAGCATCATAAGATGGGTGTTATGGTTTACAGCAGCCATTATACACGTTAAAATGTAGCTTCTTTTTTTTTCTTCCTTATCTTATAATTTTGTACTTTTGCCCTTTTGGTTTATTGGTTTAAACATGTCAATTTCACACCTTTGGAAATTAGTAACTTAGTCTATAATGCTGATCTTCAGATGCTCTTATGCCTAAAGTTGCCTATACTGTCTATGGAACACTTTAAACTCTCACAAGCCGGGGTCTAAAATCACTCCTTAGGGCGTTTACAGAGTTCTGCTAAGTTCTGGCAACTTTTGTTGAACTTTAGAAGCATTTGTTGATTCTGCAACAAGCAGGAACATCTTACCTTTGTCTATGCACAGCCAGCCGACTTATCTTCGAAGAATCTGTGATAAAACTGCAGGAAAACGGCGGTGTAACAAGTCAAAATGTACGCTATAAAAAGGGATTTCCCAAAGATATCCGGGTAAGGAGACTTCCATATTCGGTGTAATTTTAGAAATATAATTGAGCACCTCGTTGGAAGCTTTTAAAGATAATTTGATAAAATTTTGATGATTTTTGAAAAGTGAACTATATTTATGCAAACTATATAACTGTTTTTCAGTATTTTGCTGAATTTTTGGTTTGTTGATAACGTACTTTATGAGTTTATTTTTTTTAAGCATTATTTGTTTAAATTACACTAAAATTTTCTTATTTTAATGAAAAATGAACTTAATTAGCTAAAATTTTTAGCTTAAATTTTTGTTATAAAAATTTTTGGTTTTTTGATTGACGTTTGTTAACAGCAGTTAAGCTGCAAAAAAAACTTATCATGTACACGTAATAAAAAATGGGGACATATGGTTTCACTTGCCGGTGTAATCAAAGTTTAAGCACAAAAACCTCTTTCTTATCGCAGTGACGTGCCGAATTGATGTCGACAAGCCTATAAAGCTGAATCGACAGAACACTGAAACGCCATTTCATTTCACGCTCTTCTCATGTAAATTACATTGCCGAACTTGGTTAAGCGCCAGCTATGACAGCTACCGGACTAGCATCAGGTACAACGACTTGATCCCCTACAGAATCCCCTCTGCTTCGGTCACTTCTGAATTCTAGTCTTTTTAAACTTTTATTCTTTAGCTTAGCAAAAAGTTCTGCAATTTTGAATGTTGATTAAGAAAAAGTAACACATAGTTCAGTATCCTATCTTTACCCTTAAGAAGATTTTATTTTTATTCATTTATTTTTAATGGTTACTTTAATATATTGTCAGGTGCAGCTTCAAACGACATCTTCTATGCTCTGTCACAAATTCAGTTTGATTTTTATGGATCAAAATACCACTACTCAATTTGTGGTTGTCGTTTACACGTCAAGGTGAGCTAAAAATTAATACTTGGTTACATTTTGTTTTTTTTTATTGTTTAACTTAGTTTTGTTAACACTGTTGCACTGCTTAAAAAATCTTTTTATTAGGCAAGTGAAAATTGGATTTATTTTTTAGATTGCTGCTGTAGTGGCTACACTAATAAGTTTCTTGACATTCTTGGCTGCTGATATCTTTGTTATTGTTGTACATCGGTTCGCGATTTGCTACTTCCTCCTGATTGTTGGCTGTGCAGCTTTCTTCTTCTTCTTCTACGGTTGCCGTCAGTACAATCGATGGCTGGTCATTGTCTACATCAACTTTTTAGTAAATTTTTCTTGTACTATTCACGGATGAATTCTATTTCTCAAAAATTAATGAAAACGAAAATTGAGTCGGAAATGTACGTGCAAGCAAAAGTCCAACACTTCCTTTTTTAGGCAGTTTATGAAATTGGTCTTGTTGTCGTTCTGGCATTTGCAGTTTGCTCTCTCCGTTTACCAGAGAGCAAGTCTTTTGAAATCTTCGAAGGTCAGTGGCAATCAACCAATTTTTTTGCACATTTTTTGATGTTAAAGCGTTGCATTATCTGCAGATTATGGAAATTTAAAATGTAGCTTCAATTACAAAAAAGCTTACTTTGGCTCTTTTTTTTCAGGTTTTGGAGGTATATTTTACAAAACCGTAATCGCTATATATGCAATATTTTTTTTACTAAACGTCGCGTGTATCATAATTATTTATCGACTGTTTAAATTGTTCTCTGATCGTAAAACCGCGATTTCTCATGCACCTCATTTAGAGTAAGTTTAAACCTATATAAATGAAATATATAATAAACAAATAGCAGTCTTTCTCTTAAAATGACCAAAATTTTCAGGATTTATGATGATTACCGAACTCACCGTAATTTCTTCTCCAGTATTTTACTAAGTGCAGAAAGATACGAATTGCCTGAAGAACCAATATGTGTGATCTCATATCCCCCACCTTGTCCCCCAGCTTATGAAGCAGAATCGTCATCTGGCAGTTCCTCCCCGAATACTGCGCGTCGTCCAAGGCGGAAACCATTGCGGAACACTCAGCGCGTAATTCTTCCGCAGTACACCGACTTTCGTCCAGATGTTTATGCGGAACCGCCTCCGTATGACGAGAAACCAGAAATCCAAAATTATATTTAAAAATACAATATAAATTTTAAATATGTGTATAACTGTATTACTTTTTTTGTTTATTGTCGTTGTTTTCCAGCCATAATAATTTCTTTTGAAATAAAGAATCCTCATCAAAATTGCTTCATGTTTGTTGCTTCTTTGAGGCATTATAAATGATCAGTTTACACAGCAATCAAAATTGATACCGTTTTCAATTAGTGGTGGCAAAAAAACAACTTTTTTGCAACTGATGCACAACAAGGCAATTAAAAACTATTAAGGGTTTGAGTTATTACGTAATAACTTGCTTACTGCTGGCATTAAACTGAGCGATTGGGTGATTCCAAGATTTAGCACAGACAGGTAAACCCTAGTCTCCAATAATTTATGCTGTTCAAACAAACAAAGAGAAGAGTGAGGTAAAAATTTCAGTGATTCACGTGTGTGCTCTTTTATTGGCACTTTTACTACTAGTAATGAATTTTTTTATAATTCAAAAGTGCTACAACGCAGTAGGAAAAATAGAGCTTAGATTGACAAAAAAAAATTTTAAAAAAAATAATAAAAAAATAATGGAAAGAAACAGTAATCGGTAAAACGGTCTTTATAACGTTCTGACTGAGCCATATAAAAG